GGAACTGCTTAGCCATGACCCATTTGCAGTGTCTCTTTGCCAGAACAAGGCCACATCGACATCGGTCCCTCTTGGTAGACGCGATGGTGGTCAGTCGATACGGTTATATTTGGTTTGGGGCAATGAGACAAGAGAAGAAACGAAGAAGAGGTCTCGAGGGTGGAGACTTCAGCTGCATTAAGTGCACGAGCCTTCATCACCTGCCGCACCACCTGCTCGTGACTTGAGACTCCACCTCATAGATGAGAACTTCAACTTCAAAGAGGTTCTAGCATGGACCGAAACTTAGGATCCAACGTCCGGCTCACGATGTGAAAGAAGCGCTTGTTGTGAGGCAACCCAACCAGTTGGTTTGCATTTCTTTCCCTATTTCTCCTCGGTTGAGTCAGTTTTGTTCTTTGATTTTAGAGTCAATAACTCAACCTTTGTGAGATTTTGTGTGGTGTTTGTGTTCCGACTGCTCTTTCTCTACTTTCCTCCTGGAATGCACCGCCTGCCCCATTCACCATCATTCACACTTGATCTGGTAACTTCATTCTACTCTCCTTATCTATCCTCCATTGAGGACAATGTCGTGCTTAAGTGTGGGGGGATGTTCCATTATGTTTGCGTGTGAATGTTTGGTTGTTTTTGTGTCCTTGGAGCCTAGTCCACTGTCCAAATTTTGATTTGAGTGCTACAAGCACGTGTTCCTTGAAATTGCCTGCTCAGTATGCTTTGAATGACAGTCTTTATAGTAATATGCAACATAGGTAGGTAGTGTAGCATTATGGAGGATGTTGATGCATTTAAGAAGTCTCATTTCTTCTTCATATCGTGTTGGTTGATTGTGTGAATTAGTGATCTTAGGACCCTTGAATTGTGTGGTATTGTGGACTCTCTACCTTTCATGGACTCCTGTATCATGTTTTGAAAAAAAGGTGCTCTAAAATGTGCTTTTAAAATAACGTCTCCCGTGCGGGAAGCGGTGAAAGTGCGTAAAGGGAGACGGGAATCCGTTCCCAACTTCCACCTACTACCTCCAGCCCCCTTACATTTCTTTCCCCGCATGTGGATCGAGACATCTGCTCCTGACATGGCCGGTAAGGGCCGGGCTCCCTCAAAACCTTTTACTAGGTGGGAGCCCCGTTTTCTGGAGAAAAAAACACGTTGGCACCCTTGAAAAAAACAACAACAAAAAAAGAAAAGAAAAAAGGGGTTCCAACCATCTTCAAGAAGAAAATAGAGCACCTTAAAAAAGTGAGTTCATGATCTTTCTGTTTTTGAGAGTCCCTTTGTCCATGATTCATTTGTCCTCTGATCACTATTTTCCATGATGCCGACTCGAGACTAGAGTTATCGCCGAAGAAGCTAGGAGGTGCCATGTGCATTTGTTGACCTCGTAAACTGCTAAATGATCTAGGAAGTCCGCTACCGAAGATCGGCGTTGCGTGTTCCTGTAAAGGTCTGGAGAGTTGATTTGGTTTGAGTCAGGTTTGCTTGGGGACAAGCAAACAGTTGAGTGTGGGGGGATTTGAGGACTCGATATTTGCACATGTTTCCCCTTTGTTTCTTGATTGTTTGAGTTTTAATTATCGCGTCTTGGGCCTATTTTACGCTAGGTTGTGTTCCTTTGTCACATTTCAGGTCCTAGCACATAAAGTTAAGCATAGGCGCAAGTTTCAAATCAATCAGAGATCAATTGGCGATTTGGGAGAAGAAACTCGGGCATGACCTGAAGAAGAATGGATTTCTACCTCACTTTGTGTACAAATAATAATTCAAGCTTGTCATGAAAAGAAATAGGACGAGAATACGAGAGTCTGGGATCAAACGACGACTGATTCGGAGTCCGGACGAGGGAGGAACGAAGCATTGAATATAGGGGAACAGGTTCGTCAGTAAAAACACTGGCAGACTACCCTAAAAACACGGCTGTGTGTTATCTGGCACCCGCTAGTGTTTTTACTGCCGAGGGCGTGTCGTGAGGGCTGCTGGGGGCAAAACACGGGTGGGCAAAAGTAAAACACGGCCGTGTCCTCGACCGTGTTTTGCCCAGAATTGGGTTTTTGAGGCAGATTCAAGCCAAAGGAAAGGGAGAGCTGGGTTTTGGTTCCCAAACACCCAATGGACGAACCCTAGAGAGAGAGAGCGACTTGGGAACATTCTTGGAGCTATTTTGGAGGATTTCTTTGCCATTGGAGCTCGGGAATCAAGCTTGGAGATGGAGATTGAAGATCTAGATCAGATTTCTGCAGTCTCTCTCTTCTCTATGAAGTAACTTCCCTTCACTTAGGTTTTGAGGAACCCTAGTTCCATGTGTTAGGATCTTTCTTGTATGAAGTTTTGGATGCTATATTTTTTTATTATAATCGATTGAGGCATGATTTATTGAGTCAATTGAATCTTGATCAAATTCTCTTGATTTCTGCTTTAACTTATGATAGATAGAATCTTATTATGTTAAGAGAGCTTCCTTGATTGATAGTGGTGAATTGGTTGTGCGAGAGTCAATCAATTTACTGCTTTGTACTGGAATTCATTCCAGTAGTGGAGATCTGCGTGAATCGCCTTAGCAGTCTATCCCGGTGAAGGCTAGTCGCCTGCCGGGTATTCTATCCAAAAGGACTTGGTCAGCTTAAGAGATTCCAAGCTAATTTAGGGTCTTCCGCAATTTAATCAACAGTAGATCAACCAAAGGGAATTGCAACTTGGACCTAATTGAGGAGCTAGGGGGAATCATACCTAAATGAGTTCCCAACTTGTAGTTAGTAGAGTAGTTTAGTAAATCAATCCTTAATCTAGTTTGCTAGATAATGAACTGAAGCTGAGTAATAGTAAGTCTAGAGACCCGTGGATTCGATATTTATTACTTGTGCCACTATACTGCAGTCCCTTTCATTGGTTACACTTGGCCATTGTTAGGTGTTGTGTTTTAGCGTGTCATATATGAAGCTTCTTCAAGTACATAGTCAACGATGAAGGTGAATTAAGCAATATCTTTTGGTCTGACTCCATATCTAGAGCACATTACCATTTTTTCGGGGGCGTTTGATGCAAACTACAAGCGCAACAAGTACAATTAGCCATTTTTAATGATGGTTGGTGTAAATCACCACCACCATAACATCATATATTGTTTTGCCCAACTTAATACTTTCTTGAAGTCTATGAACCCTAAGATGTCGACTTCAATGATCACAGACGGATGCAAGTTTATGCATTGCTCCATTGCTACAGTACTGGTTGGAGTGCCTCATCGACTGTTTATTTGTCATATTGAGAAAAATGGGACAACAGTTGTTCGTAATAGAGAGTTTGATAGCTCATTCACCCACTTGGCGAAAGCACATACATCAACTGAGGAGTTTGAGAGTTGTTGGGAGCGTTTAATTACTGAACATGGTTTGTCTGCAAATAAGTGGTTGCAGGATTTGTACGCTGACAAATCACTTTGGGCAGAGGCATACTTGTAGTATATTTATTTTGGTGAAATCCAATCAACATCGCGATGTGAGTCATGTAACCATTGGATAAATGGGTATGTAGGAACTCAATACAGCTTGCAACATTTTGTTCAGGCGATTGATGAAGCACTGGAGAGGATGCGTTACACGGAGGTGCACGATGATTATTCTTCGAGGCACACGAGGTTGGTCTGCAAGCTGGAAGTATCTACATACATCGTACATTTGCTATCTTCAAGTCTGAACTAGAGAACGAAGCTTCTTCAGTGTTAGCAAAGACAAGTATTGAAGCAGATGAGACAGAGGCATTCATTCTGAGGAACTACACGAACCCGAATCAGAGAAGGAGGTTAACGTTTAGTACGACCATCAACATATGCTTACAGTCATAAAAAAAATAAGGGATTTATAGCACTACCCTTCACGTGGTTCAATCTTCGATGGACCCAAAATGCAAAGACGTTTTCTCGTAATCCTGGAGTTGGAGGTGATATGATAGAGAAAGTTGGTTGACTAATAAGACATAGTGGATTGTCACTGAAGTGCAAGAGTTTGTGTGACATAGCGTGTGGTAGTGAAGCGGCTTTTAATCATGTCTCTAATGAGTTGGATAACCTTACTCAATGAGCAATTGAGCTATCGAGTGTGAGAACGAATACCACTGTACCTGCAAACCCTCCAGTACCCCTTCCAAATATGAAAGAGCCAAAAATTGGGAAGACCATGGGAACATTCAAGTCATCATGACATACATCGGGCAAAAGTATAAGAAAGTGTTCGAAATGTGGAAAATATGGTCATTTTCACCCTAACTGTCCCAAAAAAAATCATGATTTTCTTGTATTATTTTGTAGGAGTTTTTTGAACTATGATTGTATCGTTATTTTTGCATTTATGTATTTTTAAAATATCTTCATAATATAAGCATGTGTAATTTAAGCAATAGTTGAAATTTCGTGGAATAAAATAAAAGGCCAACCTGATGGATGACGAGATCGACCAAATTGAACAAGGTCGACCATTTCTTGAACGTGGTCGACCGCTGCACTGTTTTGTTGACCGGACAGAATTGGAAAAACCCATTCGGTCAAACCCTATCTTCCATCCCTTTTACTCCACTCATGTGCAAGATCCTCCTCAACTCATTTTTCTATCTTCGCCTCTTTCTCACTATTTTTTTCTCTCTTTTCCCTTCTTTTTTCTACCACCAAAAAAACCTTGGACAAGCACAAAAACCTCCAATCTATTTTATTCACAGTTGCTTATAAGAAGAATAAGGTATGTTTCTCATATGTTCTTGTCATTCGGATGTTGAATCTCAAACGATTATTTTTAAACCCCCAAAACCTGCAAAGTTAGGTTTTCTCGTCAGAATCGGTCGACCTTCTTCATCCATGGTTGGCCGACTCTTTTTGTTTTCTTGTCAATCAGTTATAAATCTAGAAAATTAGGGTTCTTTCTACTATTCGCCAGAATCGGCCGACCTCGTTTGTCAGTGGTCGACCGAATCTGTTTCATTTCGGCATCATTCAGCTCGTCGTTTGGTTGGGGGGGGGGGGGTGTCGCCCGATTTTGCTATGCTTCTGCTTGCAAAAATATGTCGACATATTTTCGGTGAGTTCGACCAATTATGTTTGGTTTTATACGATTTTAGCAAAGTCTACTAGTTTTTTTTATGTTTTTTAGCTTATGCTTGCAAAAATAGGTCGACCTATTTCTAGTAAGGTCGACTAAGTCTGTTTGGTGTCGTCGACTTAAGCATAGTGTCCATTAGTGTGACGTTGTTTTTGCTTCTGCTTGCAAAAATAGGTCGACCTATTTACAATGAGGTTGACCGAGTCTGTTGTCGTTTGGCTAATATGAACTGTCATTTCTTTGATCTCATGATGGATAGAGGAAAGAAGAAAAGAAAGTCAGACAAAGTGGTTGCCTCAAGTTCTGAATGGGAAGAGTTCGATCTAAGTTTGTTTCAGACCAAAATACAAAGCGACAAATATGAAGAGAAGAAAATGCACAACCGCAGGGTGGCTCCTGGAAGACCATTGACGTCTGATGCTTACACTCATTTCCAAAATTAAGGGTTCTTTAGAGCATTTGTGGAGCAAGATTGGCAAAAGGTCATATCCCTAAATGTACCATACTACCTAAAAATGGCACAATACTTCTACAACAACATCGTCTATCAGCGTTCTACAGATGAATCTATTCATTCTTTTAAATGATATGTAAATGGGGTAGAGATGCATATCACCAAAAAGGTGTTAGGCAGAAGTACTGGAGATTCCAAACCAGGGGAAGAGAATCGATGCTTTTAATGCTTCGAATGAAACTAATTTCTCGAGAGCCAAGCAAATACAGACTGTATGTGGTCTTGCTAAAGAGGAAGGTGCTGAGGATCGTAGTAGTTCGTTCGCCAACTGACAGTTACATCCAGAGTTCTTCACCATATGCTCTCTTAAAACATTCTTCCAAAGGGTGGACATCGAGAAGTAGTCACCTACTTTGACATGGATCTCATCAACAACCTACTTTCACATGAGCAGGTTAACTTGCCATATTTGATCTTTAAACGCATGCTTGCTGTTGCAGAGAGTTCAATTAGGAACCTTCCCTATGGGATGATCCTGACTTTGCTATTTGAGCATTTTGGTGTGGATTTAAGTGGTGATTTTGGTTTAAGAGTTACAAGGCAGGAGTTCTATACAACTACATCCCTGAAGAAGATGGGATTTGAGATGCATGATGGTGTGTATGTCTAAGAATAAAATCCTCATGTAGTCCAGGATGATGATGATGATGATGATGATGATGATGATGATGATGATGATGATGATGATGATGATGATGATGATGATGATGAAGAGCCCTGAGACGAGCCAATGGCGCAACCACAAAGTTCAACTCCACCAGTCACCTTCGATGCTATATGGAACTGCATGAATGATCTGACCGATTACATGTGCTAGATGTCCAGCCATATGAGCACACTACTAGTGAGTGTAACAAAGATGCGAGATGAATTCCAACCATATGTCCAGCCATTTCAGCGGAATATACATGGATCCCACCACATCTGACTACCATAATGCTAGCAACACCAATGAGGAAAATGCGAATAAGTGAGAGGAGAGGGGAGAGGTCTAGGAACTCCCTGATTTTAGATTGTGTTTTTTTTATTGTTAAAGTTGTTAAGTCTTAAAGACGATTTGGTTTAAAGCAACTATGATCGTGGATTGATATTAAGCCATTGTCGTTTTTTTTATTTTAGGTATGTGTGAACTATTGTGAGGTGTGTTTTATTGTATTTGGTGTAAGTGTGTTAAGTTGTTATGAAGTTAAGGTGTCTTGCAATTATGATTGTGGATTGAATCTATTGGTTTTTAATCGTAATTTTTTAGACCAAACAAAGTACACACATCGACAAACATAATCAAAAAAATTGAAGGTCATAGGCTTGCGAAACCAACACTTTCCTCTACGTTTCACTTCAAGGGGATGGATGGATAGTAGTTTAGCCTTCTTCTATCTGGTCGACCTCTTGTTGTAAATGGTCGGCCTCATTTCATATATGGTCGACCATGTCTCTATTATGGCAGACGATTCGGTAATGACTACCGTCAAGTGGTCGACCTCCTTTTGTTTACGGCCCACCATTTTGCTTATGACTACATTGAAAGGTCAACCGCTTTTGCATTGTGGTCGACCATTTTAGTATCGATTAACTTAAAACGGTCGCCCACTATATGTTAATGGTTAACCGTGATTTTCCATCTAGTGACCACGATGGTATAACCGATCGACCGCAATTACTCATAGGTCGACCAAATTGTGCGAGTTACGGTGGTTTGCAAGGCACCATAGTCGTGCCCAAGTGATTAATAGTTTCTTTTAGGTAGAATGGTGATTAGTATATGTATTGTTATAAGAATTGAAGAATAGTTGGGCCAATAGAACCACTAAACAGTTACAATAGCGATTCAGTTCATTTGATTGGTAAGTTAGAAAATGATCGAACGGTTTTTAATGGTTTGACATGAAACTAGATGAACCATCTCTGTTTAACTGGTCTACTGGTTCACTATTTTAACAATGCAAAAATTAATAAATATTTGACGCAAACTAAGACCGTCCAATTTCAATTAATAATTTTATTTATGTTTTCAATTTTTCATTTCCCAGCCCCCTTTTCGAATTTACTTGGTTCACTAAGGATTGCCATCCCGGTTACAAACTTTTTTTATATATTTTAAAAAATAAAAATCCAAACAACTTGATTTTAAAGTAAAAATCATGATTTCTTTTGTGAGATAGTTTGAATGCTTTATTAGAACTTGTTGGTGATAGATGATATTGATTTGAAATTATTTATGGTTAGTGAAAATTTCACTTATAAATTAGTGTATGTATATATCTTTTATGTTATAGAGTATGAACGATTCTATCAACTATTCTATAACAGTTAACTATTGAATTATCAACCACTAGGTTTTCCGGTTCAACATCCGGTCTGATTCTAAAAACATTGAGCATATGTTTTGCACTTTTACTCTTTACATAGGAAGAAGACATGATCAGCTTTCATTTCTCAGGAAAATATTAATACAATTTCATTTTAATAGTAAAAAGATTTTAAACAATGTATTATATTTTTAATTTATGGTAGAAGATGATTTTTTTGTCTTTTTGCATACTATTAAAAAGAGGACTATGGTTCGTTTAATGAAATGACATGATATCATAAATAAGCTATTAACGGCTTGGTCTAGTGATTCTATTGATAATTTTCAATTTGGAGGTCTCAAATTAGAATGTCTTAAATAGTGCCTAATAGTAAAATGAAATTTATAATACATTCGTTAAAAATGAGATGATAAATAAGATTATGGAGATTTCTTTTAATTTTTCCCAAAATTTATATCAAATCATTGTGGCAACCAATTACCAATTATATGAGGTCTTGTATCTTTCATTATCTTTTTTTTTTTTTACCCTCATAAGAAATGAGATGAGAAATAAGATTACGAATATTTCTTTTAATATTCCCCCACATTTTACATCAAATCATCGCTGCAGTAAGCCAGCAACTATATATATCATGTCATGTATCTTTCATTATGTTTCTCTCATTATGGTAATTCGAGTTTGAAAAGTGATCAAAGATGCGGGTTTCCTACCGACTACTGTGCAATGTAAATTCGAAACATGTAGGGGATCAAAATGTAGACACATCTCCCTCAAAGTATAGACATGCCGCATATAGAGTGAACTAGTTTTTTATCCGCCCGTTGGGCGGTGTATTTTGTTTGGTTATTTTATAATTCGTTATAGTATTTTAATTGTTATCATTATATATGTTTGTTAAGGTAATATACATGGAATTGTAAATCCCATTTACCTTATTTATGAACATTTTAATTTTATTAACTGAGCTCTTTGTAGACTGTTCTTTATTGATTTAGAATTTTTTTTTATCTAACTCGCCCTTTAAGATTATAAACATAAGAGTTATTCATTCTTTAGCACACAATTGAGATAAAGAAGTTAAAAAATTTACAGCCATAAAAGAAGAAGTTAGAATAAGAAAATATGCTTGAATTAATAAAACCCTCTTCCTTCTCATATGTCGGTATATGATATTAGAGAATATTCCGATCTAAATCCCATGAATATCGTGTATTATCACTTACACATACAATTTTGGAATAATGGGGAAAACTCATTAGCATCCACGTCCATCAATCTTCCACGTACTCGTTTAATTACTTTGAAATGTTCTAGCAAAACCAACCACAAAAAAAATTTAAAACAATATTTTCAGCAAATTAAACTGCATATACTTAAACACAATTTATATTTTGTAGAGAGCTACATATCTCCTGCAGAAAAGAATTGTGATTTTTTACATAACAACAACATAGACAAATAATGAAAAGGAGCAGTCTTCAATACAACTCAACTCATTTTATCATGCAGATTCCTCATTTGTGAACTGAATATATGCATCAATCCAAATAGTAATTTGTAAGAAAACAATCATGTCAAAATCAAGCTTTAGTTAGGGATTCAATGCGGAAAAATTCATCTTTATGAAACAAACAAATGTCACTGCAAACATGCAGAAATTAAAAAAAAAACATCGAAATAGACAACCGAGAAACCACCATTATAATTTATTTCTTCTTCGCGACCTTTATAAAATCCTAATTATGTTCCCTTCTATTTATAACCTCTTTGCTACCTACTAATTACTAAAATACAGATCTGTTATAGCTAGTAGCATGACAATCATGAACATAAAATATAATAAACAACCATCACAACTCTGATTTTCATTTCAACATTCAAAAAATCAGGTTGCAATAGGCATTCAAGAAAAATGATCAATTATTCAACCAAAGGAGGTATGCCCTAAGTCCAACCAATTAACCGTTCTAATTATATTTTATATATTTAAATAAAAGTATATGGTGACCCTTCTCCGTGAAAAACAAAGAAGAAATACATTCACTCATCGAGAGTGGGAAAATTTACCATCCAGCAGTCGTAATTTGGAAGAAATTAAGAAAAGAATGGGAAGAAGAGTATAACTTGGCCAGTCAACCGCAAACAATAACATATCGCTGAGAAAGTGAGACCAGTTGTCAGCTTCAGATAAAGGAGGAAGAGGTAGCAGTCGACAACCCTCGGCTTGATTCACCTCATCTTCACAATGATCATATGAACTTTTTTCGTTAACAGGCAAAAATATGTTACAACTGCTCAAAATTTTGTCATCTAATCTTTGCCTCATGTAACTCCTGCCTCCTATTCTCATACAAAGAAAAATAAATCATATGCATTACCATTTCCTTCTCTATAAATTATGAGAATAGAGATATTAGAAATCTCAAAAAAATTAGCAACTAATAAGAGGGCTTTGTTTATTTTTATGGTGGTTCACATACTTTCTTGATTTCTTATTTTCAAAGTTGGATTTTATTTCTGGTGAGACAACCAAAATGGGGAAAGGGATAGAAACAAATTAAAAGTTTGCATTAATAATTAATCGGAATAAATAAGAAGTTTTAAAAAATAACAATTATTGTTCTGTCAAGTTTATATTCGAACATTTTGCTATAAAATTTATACTTGTTTTATTTGATAGGTATATACATTAGAAAGAAATGAGTGTTTGATAGCAAAAAAACATATAGTCATATCGTTCATTTCTCAAAGTCGATTGATTATCAAACGCTTGTTTTCTCTTAGACCATCATTTATATTTTGTTTAATCGAAAATTATTATTATTTA